ATGTTTTTCATACAAAAGACTATTGACATTCAAAAGAATTTTTATAATCTTTCGTAAATCGTAAATTTTGCATAAATATTTTGGGTTTTTTAACAAAAAACTGCAGTATTACTCATTGACTGCTGGCATTATATTTAATAAAATTATTTATGTTTTTCCTTAATATTGGAATATTAATTCTTTAGTTCAGATTTATAGAAATACTATTGTCAAGAGCTCGTATTATTCTCTTATTTAAACAATAAAGAAAAGGAGAATCCCTGCGGCAAATGTATGACTAAAGTTAGGTCCCTATATCATTACTGCATGATCTGTTCTAGATCTGGTTCAGTTCTAGCACAATTCTAGTTAAATTCAAGTTCAGTTCTAGTTTTGTTCTAGTTTAATTCTAGTTCAGTTCTAGTTCAGTTCTAGTTCAATTCTTGTTCAGTTCTAGTTCAATTCTAGTTCTAGTTCAGTTCTAGTTCAGTTCTAGTTCAGTTCTAGTTCAGTTCTAGTTCAGTTCTAGTTCAGTTCTAGTTCAGTTCTAGTTCAGTTCTAGTTCAGTTCTAGTTCAGTTCTAGTTCAGTTCTAGTTCAGTTCTAGTTCAGTTCTAGTTCAGTTCTAGTTCAGTTTCTAGTTCAGTTCTAGTTCAGTTCTAGTTCAGTTCTAGTTCAGTTTTATTTCTGCTCTAGTTGTAATCTAGTTATGTTCTAGTTCTGTTCTAGTTCTGTTCTAGTTCTGTTCTAGTTCTGTTCTAGTTCTGTTCTAGTTCTGTTCTAGTTCTGTTCTAGTTCTGTTCTAGTTCTGTTCTAGTTCTGTTCTAGTTCTGTTCTAGTTCTGTTCTAGTTCTGTTCTAGTTCTGTTCTAGTTCTGTTCTAGTTCTGTTCTAGTACTGTTCTAGTACTGTTCTAGTATCTGTTCTAGTTCTGTTCTAGTTCTGTTCTAGTTCTGTTCTAGTTCTGTTCTAGTTCTGTTCTAGTTCTGTTCTATTCTAGTTCTGTTCTAGTTCTGTTCTAGTTCTGTTCTAGTTCTGTTCTAGTTCTGTTCTAGTTCTGTTCTAGTTCTGTTCTAGTTCTGTTCTAGTTCTGTTCTAGTTCTGTTCTAGTTCTGTTCTAGTACTGTTCTAGTACTGTTCTAGTTCTGATCTAGTTCTGTTCTAGTTCTGTTCTAGTTCTGTTCTGTTCTAGTTCTGTTCTAGTTCTGTTCTACTTCAGTTCTAGTTCTATTCTAGTTCTGTTCTAGTTCTGTTCTAGTTCTGTTCTAGTTCTGTTCTAGTTCTGTTCTAGTTCTGTTCTAGTTCTGTTCTAGTTCTGTTCTAGTTCTGTTCTAGTTCTGTTCTAGTTCTGTTCTAGTTCTAGTTCTGTTCTAGTTCTGTTCTAGTTCTGTTCTAGTTCTGTTCTAGTTCTGTTCTAGTTCTGTTCTAGTTCTGTTCTAGTTCTGTTCTAGTTCTGTTCTAGTTCTGTTCTAGTTCTGTTCTGTTCTAGTTCTGTTCTAGTTCTGTTCTAGTTCTGTTTGTCTAGTTCTGTTCTAGTTCTGTTCTAGTTCTAGTTCTGTTCCTAGTTCTGTCCTAGTTCTGTTCTAGTTCTGTTCTAGTTCTGTTCTAGTTCTGTTCTAGTTCTGTTCTAGTTCTGTTCTAGTTCTGTTCTAGTTCTGTTCTAGTTCTGTTCTAGTTCTGTTCTAGTTCTGTTCTAGTTCTGTTCTAGTTCTGTTCTAGTTCTGTTCTAGTTCTGTTCTAGTTCTGTTCTAGTTCTGTTCTAGTTCTGTTCTAGTTCTGTTCTAGTTCTGTTCTAGTTCTGTTCTAGTTCTGTTCTAGTTCTGTTCTAGTTCGTTCTAGTTCTGTTCTAGTTCTGTTCTAGTTCTGTTCTAGTTCTGTTCTAGTTTCTAGTTCTGTTCTAGTTCTGTTCTAGTTCTGTTCTAGTTCTGTTCTAGTTCTGTTCTAGTTCTGTTCTATTCTGTTCTAGTTCTGTTCTAGTTCTGTTCTAGTTCTGTTCTAGTTCTGTTCTAGTTCTGTTCTAGTTCTGTTCTAGTTCTGTTCTAGTTCTGTTCTAGTTCTGTTCTAGTTCTTTTCTAGTTTTGTTCTAGTTCTGTTCTAGTTCTGTTCTAGTTCTGTTCTAGTTCTGTTCTAGTTCTGTTCTAGTTCTGTTCTAGTTCTGTTCTAGTTCTGTTCTAGTTCTGTTCTAGTTCTGTTCTAGTACTGTTCTAGTACTGTTCTAGATCTGTTCTAGATCTGTTCTAGTTATGTTCTAGTTCTGTTCTAGTTCTGTTCTAGTTCTGTTCTAGTTCTGTTCTAGTTCTGTTCTAGTTCTGTTCTAGTTCTGTTCTAGTTCTGTTCTAGTTCTGTTCTAGTTCTGTTCTAGTTCTGTTCTAGTTCTGTTCTAGTTCTGTTCTAGTTCTGTTCTAGTTCTGTTCTAGTTCTGTTCTAGTTCTGTTCTAGTACTGTTCTAGTACTGTTCTAGTTCTGATCTAGTTCTGTTCTAGTTCTGTTCTAGTTCTGTTCTGTTCTGTTCTAGTTCTAGTTCTGTTCTAGTTCTGTTCTACTTCAGTTCTAGTTCTATTCTAGTTCTGTTCTAGTTCTGTTCTAGTTCTGTTCTAGTTCTGTTCTAGTTCTGTTCTAGTTCTGTTCTAGTTCTGTTCTAGTTCTGTTCTAGTTCTGTTCTAGTTCTGTTCTAGTTCTAGTTCTGTTCTAGTTCTGTTCTAGTTCTGTTCTAGTTCTGTTCTAGTTCTGTTCTAGTTCTGTTCTAGTTCTGTTCTAGTTCTGTTCTAGTTCTGTTCTAGTTCTGTTCTAGTTCTGTTCTAGTTCTGTTCTAGTTCTGTTCTGTTCTAGTTCTGTTCTAGTTCTGTTCTGTTCTAGTTCTGTTCTAGTTCTGTTCTAGTTCTGTTCTGTTCTAGTTCTGTTCTAGTTCTAGTTCTAGTTCTGTTCTGTCTAGTTCTGTTCTAGTTCTGTTCTGTTCTAGTTCTGTTCTAGTTCTGTTCTAGTTCTGTTCTAGTTCTGTTCTAGTTCTGTTCTAGTTCTGTTCTAGTTCTGTTCTAGTTCTGTTCTAGTTCTGTTCTAGTTCTGTTCTAGTTCTGTTCTAGTTCTGTTCTAGTTCTGTTCTAGTTCTGTTCTAGTTCTGTTCTAGTTCTGTTCTAGTTCTGTTCTAGTTCTGTTCTAGTTCTGTTCTAGTTCTGTTCTAGTTCTGTTCTAGTTCTGTTCTAGTTCTGTTCTAGTTCTGTTCTAGTTCTGTTCTAGTTCTGTTCTAGTTCTGTTCTAGTTCTAGTTCTGTTCTAGTTCTAGTTCTGTTCTAGTTCTGTTCTAGTTCTGTTCTAAGTTCTGTTCTAGTTCTGTTCTAGTTCTGTTCTAGTTCTGTTCTAGTTCTGTTCTAGTTCTGTTCTAGTTCTGTTCTAGTTCTGTTCTAGTTCTGTTCTAGTTCTGTTCTAGTTCTGTTCTAGTTCTGTTCTAGTTCTGTTCTAGTTCTGTTCTAGTTCTAGTTCTGTTCTAGTTCTGTTCTAGTTCTGTTCTAGTTCTGTTCTAGTTCTGTTCTAGTTCTGTTCTAGTTCTGTTCTAGTTCTGTTCTAGTTCTGTTCTAGTTCTGTTCTGTTCTAGTTCAGTTCTAGTTCTGTTCTAGTTCTGTTCTAGTTCTGTTCTACTTCTGTTCTAGTTCTGTTCGAGTTCTGTTTTAGTTCTGTTCTAGTTCTGTTCTAGTTCTGTTCTAGTTCTGTTCTAGTTCTGTTCTAGTTCTGTTCTAGTTCTGTTCTAGTTCTGTTCTAGTTCTGTTCTAGTTCTGTTCTAGTTCTGTTCTAGTTCTGTTCTAGTTCTGTTCTAATTCTGTTCTGGTTCTGTTTTACTTATGTTTTAGTTCTGTTCTGTGGGCCAAAATTGTATGCAAATTGGCAAATTGTTCATTAAGCTTTCCCCTTACAACTAGTTTTGAAAGGTATTATTCAGGATTTGTTAAAAAGCTGGATCCAGAACCGTTTCATAGAAAGTGTAACGACTTTATAAAGTTTTAAAGAAATCTGAGGTCCTACGAATCCGGAGAAGTCAGAACAAAATATGAGGACATTTACATGGGAAATGAAAAAGGACCCTAAAAGAAACACTAATTCTAAAACTAGTTGTAAAACGAGTACAGTTTTGATGAGTACAAAATTTTAAAAAATTAATCCCAATATTGGACTTTTTGAATGATTCCGTTCAAAATGTTTTCGGTTAGTGGTACTATAAATATTTTCATTTGTTTAGTGAAAAGTTAACTGTCAATTTTAATATAATCCTAAATGCCTTCATTACAAAAATAATAAAAAAAGTCTAAAACTTACTTTGGTCTCGATGTTAAATTTGGATCTGAAGTTTTACGTTGACTACGATTACGTTTGTGTGATAAACGTTCCTTATACGATTCCGAGCGATTAACTGAGACGGGAGCACTTTTATTCTGTTGATGTTGTTGATGTAAACTGAAAGAAAGGCGGGAAAATTATTAGGAATCAAATGATTTTAAAAGCCAATTAATCAAACATACCGTTCTCTACGTAAATTACCCTCATTTGCGTCCTGCGCATTTATGTCATTTAGGGCACCCAAAACACCCGATCCACCGGGTGAGATGGCACCAACATTCTGTGGTGTTGCGGTTGATAAGGCTCCAATGTTTGTATTTGTTGCATCACTACCGGTGATTGTCGCTGCGTTACCGCCTTGTGCCCCAAGGGCACCCATACTGGTATCGGCGCCATGAAATGAACTGTGTAAATCGCTGTTATTTAAATTTGCTGATGTATTGCCATTCGAGCGTATTGATAAATTTGCTGAATCCGTCCTGCGGTCTGAGGGATGCCTTTGTATGGAAGTGGAATTTAAACGTTCTGTTTTTTTATGGGGGAGAGAAGAGAAAAGATAGGATTTAATAAAGATATGCGAAGAAAATTTTTAAAATTTTAAAAAAATAATTTATAAAAATTGCATTTAAGGTTTAGAGTTGAAATTAATTGATTGAAATATAAAACAATATCTTTATTCTGAATATTTATTTAGCACCGAAGCAGAGGAGAAATACTCTCTTAATAAAACTTTAAAACAGTCATCGATAGAGAGTAAGAAGAGAATTCTTTTTCTCTTTCTAAGGCTGCTTTATGAGCTTTTGTACGCGAGCAAGCTAGAAAGCTCTTTAGCTTTCTTCGATTTAGTTTTAAAATTTGGTTTTTAAGAGAGCAAACCAGCCAAAAAGCTTTAAGGCTTTACTGAGTAGTTTTAGATTAAGTTCTTACCAACATTTAACTGCTTATAGTACTCGGGACCCTCATTACATTCAACTCCTGCCACTGCCGAAGCGGCTAAAGTCTTACGCTTTTTGGCATTCTTACTGGCTGCCTTACGATTCTTATAATTATTTGTGGTTTCATTAATCTTAGCCGCTACTCTCGATGTAAGAGAAGGGGAAGATGATTTACGCTTAGGTTCAACTATCTTTATGGGCTGTTGTGTGTGGCTCTCCTGAGCACAGTCTAGCTCATCTTCATCACGTTCGTCACACGAATAGAAAGCCTCATCCTCAAAGTTACCACTACTTTTGCTGCTATTCGAGCTATTGCGTTTAACTTTGGCCGAGGAGGTTTTAGATGTTATGGAGGATGTGGAGTTGGGAGAGCTTTTAGCTGTAGAAATTTTACGCTCTTTGACGGGAGGTTTAAGAGAGTCTACATTCAGGGTGGGATTATTTAAAAGACGATCATAGAAAGAATTATTTAAACTTTGTTTCTTAACTAAAACCACATTACGTTCACCCTTGATATCATTCTCTTTGGGAGCATCGGCTACCACACCATCTTGGGAATATTTTAAAGCTATAGGCATGGGTTTACAAGTGGCGGCCACTTGCATAACTGCCGAAGCGGCCTCCGATATCGACTTGCGTCTGATTAGATTGAAATCATCGGTATTAAGGAATTTCTTATTGTTCATAACAAACTTGACTAGAGCCTGTAGATTGAGATTCGAATGGCCTCGTGTTTGTTTCTTAGAGTCTTTGGCCTCAGTTTTCAATTTCTTTTGTTGTTGTTGCTGTTTGTTTTTCTCTTCGGCAGCCGCCATTATGGCACTAGCGGTGGGTATTTTACGGCTGCTGCGTGAACGTTTAATACTCTCACGTTTATCTAGATCTCCCGCTATTTTTGTCTTTGAAGAACTTTTCTCTATGCGATTATTGCGAAATTTACGATCATTTAGGAAAATTTTCTCTTTACCCAAACGGGGTAAATTGTCGGGAGTAGTGGAAATGGCTGAGTCTTGTTTATGTTCCTCCTCACTGCTATCGGTATCTTCTGTATCACTTTCACTATCCTCTGAATCCTCATCTTCAGCTTCCTCCTCCTCCTCATCGTCGTCATCATCGTCATCTTCCGCTAAAGCTGAAACCGTTATGCCTGCACTATTGTTGGGGAAAATATGCGTCAATTGCGTTTTATCTATCGTCTCATCTTGACTATCCTGCGAGGCCGTTTTTGTATTGTAAAAGTTTTTGTAGAATTTCTTTTTTTGTGTATCAGCATTCTTCAAAGACTTTAGCGAGGTCTTTTTATTATTACACTTGGTCAGGGAATCACTGTGTGGTATAACACTCACTAACTCTTCTTTCTCTTTCTCCCTCTCTTTCTCCATTTCTTTTGCTTTCTTTGCAGTTTTATCTTTATCTTTTTGTTTAGATTTTTCTTTTGTTGTTGTTTTCACTTTTTTAGGTTTCACATTTAAGGCAACAGTTGGCGGTTTATCTGTTTTTTGTATAATTTCTTTCTCCTCCATTTCATCTGCTTCTTCCAGCGAAGTAGATGGCTGATGTTTTATTATGAAATGTGGAGATTTGGATCTTTTACTAGATTGCCCCATAGAAGAGGATTTTCTACGAAAACTTCCTCTGCGAAATTTATCAAATTTTGAAAAGGTTTCATTGTTGTTGTTATTATTATTATTATTATTTTCATTTGTTAGATTTATGGCGTTTCCCAGTGGCTCTTGTGGTGGTAAATCATCTCCCTCTTCGGTGGTGGAGGAGCCACCGCTGCCCGTTAAACGAAACCACATACGAGATAAATCACTCATTATTGTTGACGTTGTTGTTCTAGCTTAAAAACTTTAAGTACATAGTCCTCTTCATTAAGTTAAAGAGAAATTGTTTATTCTTCTTTCACTCTCGCTCTCTCTTTCTTTTTGTTTCTCTTAATTTTTAAACTCTATTATTATTTATTTATAAATATTTTATTATTTTTTAAATTCGTTTTTAATTTTCGTGCATTTCGTTTTAAATTCGTTGTTATTTTTAATAAATCGTTAAAATTCTTTAACATTGCTTTTAATTAATTTTTAAAAAATATAAATTTTTTAAAATTTCTTTATTGTATCTAACAAAATTAAAAGAAATTGTTGGTGTTTGCTGTTTGAGTTTTAAAAAAATACTAATAACAAAAAGCTTTTTTAAAAATTTGCTTTTTCATTTGTCTGTGTTTCACGATTTCGTAAAAATTTAATGGCCTCAAAGAGCAGCAAACACCTCTAGACTTTCATTTTGTTGTTTTCAAAATGTCATTTTCTTTATGGAAGCAAAATATTGAAATGTTTTCTTTTACACAAAATATATATAATTTTATTTTTTTTTTAATCTTAAAGGTCAAGTTTAATTTAAATTTATAATTTTCTTTAACAAAAAATTATATATAAATAAAATTTCACTTTAAATAGCTTTTCGTCTGTGTTTAATGCTAAAAGAATTTTTAAATACTAACCGCATTTTATTAAGTGTTTTAAATTTTTTGCAATAATTTTTCACCATCCCCCATATTTTACGCCTCATTTAGTAAGCTCCTGAACAACATGGTTTTATCTGTGTTCAATAAATTTTGGCCGATAAAGATTACACCATTTCAAAAAAACACCACAAATTATCAAATACCGTTGATTTGTAATAAACTCTGCAAACCAAAATCTATTTACTCAATACTAGACTATAGACTAGACTATAGACTAGACTATAGACTAGACTATAGACTAGACTATAGACTAGACTATAGACTAGACTATAGACTAGACTATAGACTAGACTATAGACTAGACTATAGACTAGACTATAGAATAGACTATAGACTAGACTATAGACTAGACTATAGACTAGACTATAGACTAGACTGTAGACTAGACTATAGGCTAGACTATAGACTAGACTATAGGCTAGACTATAGACAAGACTATAGACTAGACTATAGATTAGACTATAGATTAGACTATAGACTAGACTATAGACTAGACTATAGACTAGACTATAGACTAGACTATAGACTAGACTATAGACTAGACTATAGACTAGACTATAGACTAGACTATAGACTAGACTATAGACTAGACTATAGACTAGACTATAGACTAGACTATAGACTAGACTATAGACTAGACTATAGACTAGACTATAGACTAGACTATAGACTAGACTATAGACTAGACTATAGACTAGACTATAGACTAGACTATAGACTAGACTATAGACTAGACTATAGACTAGACTATAGACTAGACTATAGACTAGACTATAGACTAGACTATAGACTAGACTATAGACTAGACTATAGACTAGACTATAGACTAGACTATAGACTAGACTATAGACTAGACTATAGACTAGACTATAGACTAGACTATAGACTAGACTATAGACTAGACTATAGACTAGACTATAGACTAGACTATAGACTAGACTATAGACTAGACTATAGACTAGACTATAGACTAGACTATAGACTAGACTATAGACTAGACTATAGACTAGACTATAGACTAGACTATAGACTAGACTATAGACTAGACTATAGACTAGACTATAGACTAGACTATAGACTAGACTATAGACTAGACTATAGACTAGACTATAGACTAGACTATAGACTAGACTATAGACTAGACTATAGACTAGACTATAGACTAGACTATAGACTAGACTATAGACTAGACTATAGACTAGACTAGACTAGACTATAGACTAGACTATAGACTAGACTATAGACTAGACTAGACTATAGACTAGACTATAGACTAGACTATAGACTAGACTATAGACTACACTATAGACTAGACTATAGACTAGACTATGGACTAGACTATAGACTAGACTATAGACTAGACTATGGACTAGACTATAGACTAGACTATAGACTAGACTATAGACTAGACTATGGACTAGACTATAGACTAGACTATAGACTAGACTATAGACTAGACTATAGACTAGACTATAGACTAGACTATAGACTAGACTATAGACTAGACTATAGACTAGACTATAGACTAGACTATAGACTAGACTATAGACTAGACTATAGACTAGACTATAGACTAGATTATAGACTAGACTATAGACCAGACTATAGCCAGTTCTAAATCAAACAACTCCACTCTAACGATTTCAATACTTCAACCAAATCTCCCGACAACAATAATTGTCTATACAGCAACTTAACTGTATCCAACATTGTATCCAAAAAACCACATGAATCAATACAATTTTAATTAATATATCCATAGAAATGGTGTATTATCTATATAAAAATATTAATTTTTACTCATACTTATTGAAAAAGTCTGATAAATTATTTACGTTTGATGTTGTTGTTTTAACCTTATCTAATTGATTTTTTTTACAAAACATATGTTGTTTTTTTACTTTTTGCAAAAAAAGGTACTTTTTCCCCAATATGAGTCCCTAGAAAAAATAGCCAATTGCTTAAAATAAATATTAAACAATTAAAATTAAAATAAAAACAAAAAAAAAACTAAAACACCTACAAAACGTAACCAATATTTAACTGAAGTACCTTTTAACGATTTTTATTATTATTAACTTTTTTGTTTATACCACATGATGTCATCGTACTATTTTGTTTTTAAATGTTGTTAAATACTTATTATAACGTGGAAATAATTTATCAAATATTTTCGTATATAAATAAGCCACACACATGCATTAATATACCGCCATACTTTTACAGGTACAGTGAAGGTAAAAACTAAAAGGTAACTTTGAGTGCGAAACAAGAATGAAACAAATCACAGAATTTTAGGTTAAAGTATGATTAATCAGTATAAACGTGAGTAATCAGATAACTGATATCATACACGATAATAGCAATCCAACAATTTGTGTCTAATATGAGGTCCAGAGTTCAATTTTGCTCAATAAGTAGTGGGGACATCTATTAAATTTAATGAAAAAGTACGAAGGAAAAATAGAACAGAATAGTCTGTAATCAATCTAATCATCTGAACAATAGGTCAGCCTATAGTCTGGACTATAAAACAGTGTACTACAGAACAGTCTATAATCTGGATTATAGAACAGTATATAATATGGACTATAGAACAGTCTATAATATGGACTATAGAACAGTCTATAATCTGGACTATAGAACAGTCTATAGTCTGGACTATAGAACAGTCTATAGTCTGGACTATAGAACAGTCTATAGTCTGGACTATAGAACAGTCTATAGTCTGGACTATAGAACAGTCTATAGTCTGGACTATAGAACAGTCTATAGTCTGGACTATAGAACAGTCTATAGTCTGTACTATAGAACAGTCTATAGACTGGACTATAGAACAGTCTATAGACTGGACTATAGAACAGTCTATAGTCTAGACTATAGAACAGTCTATAGTCTAGACTATAGAACAGTCTATAGTCTGGACTATAGAACAGTCTATAGTCTGGACTATAGAACAGTCTATAGTCTGGACTATAGAACAGTCTATAGTCTGGACTATAGAACAGTCTATAGTCTGGACTATAGAACAGTCTATAGTCTGGACTATAGAACAGTCTATAGTCTGGACTATAGAACAGCCTATAGTCTGGACTATAGAACAGTCTATAGTCTGGACTATAGAACAGTCTATAGTCTGGACTATAGAACAGTCTATAGTCTGGACTATAGAACAGTCTATAGTCTGGACTATAGAACAGTCTATAGTCTGGACTATAGAACAGTCTATAGTCTGGACTATAGAAAAGTCTATAGTCTGGACTATAGAACAGTTTATAGTCTTGACTATTGAACAGTCTATAGTCTGGACTATAGAACAGTCTATAGTCTGGACTATAGAACTGTCTATAGTCTGGACTACAGAAGAGTCTACAGTCTGGACTACAGAAGAGTCTATAGTCTGGACTATAGAACAGTCTATAGTCTGGACTATAGAACAGTCTATAGTCTGGACTATAGAACAGTCTATAGTCTGGACTACAGAAGAGTCTATAGTCTGGACTACAGAAGAGTCTATAGTCTAGACTATAGAACAGTCTATAGTCTGGACTATAGAACAGTCTATAGTCTGGACTACAGAAGAGTCTATAGTCTGGACTACAGAAGAGTCTATAGTCTGGACTACAGAAGAGTCTATAGTCTGGACTACAGAAGAGTCTATAGTCTGGACTATAGAACAGTCTATAGTCTGGACTATAGAACAGTCTATAGTCTTTACTATAGAACAGTCTATAGTCTGGACTATAGAACAGTCTATAAACTGGACTATAGAATATTCTATAGTCTGGACTATAGAATAGTCTATAGTCTGGACTATAGAACAGTCTATATTCTGGACTATAGAACAGTCTATATTCTGGACTATAGAACAGTCTATAGGCTGGTCTATAGATTAGTCTATAGTCTGCACTATAGAACAGTCTATAGTCTGTACTATAGAACAGTCTATAGTGCTGGCTATAAATCAGTCTATAGTCTAGACTATAGATCAGTCTATAGGCTGGTCTAAAGATCAGTCTATAGGCTGGTCTATAGATCAGTCTATAGGCTGGTCTATAGATCAGTCTATAGGCTGGTCTATAGATCACTCTATAGTCTAGACTATAGATCAGTCCATAGGCTGGTCTATAGATCAGTCTATAGTGTTTACTATGGATCAGTCTATAGGCTGGTCTATAGATCAGTCTTTAGTCTGGTCTATGGATTAGTCTATAGTCTGGTCTATAGATCAGTCTATATAGTCTGGATTATAGCCTAGGGTTTAGATCTTTCTATAGCATTGATTATAGATCAATTTCTAGCCTAGAATATAGATCAGCTAATAGTCTAGACTAGAGATGAGTTTAAAGTCTGGACTGGACCACATACCACAAAAAAGATCAGTCTATTGTCTGGAGAACAGATCAGTTTACAGTATTAACTATTTATAATAAAATAATTGATAATTTTTTGACCATCACTGTAGTTAGACAACATGCAAGTCAGCCGTATATAAACGATAACATATTGTTTATACTTATATTTATAGATTATAAAGTGGACAGGGATGGGAAATGTGTATACAAAACCGGTAAAAGGTAATTTATTTTGGAAGAAAAGTTAAATATAAAAAAATGTTGTCAACTTTTAGGCTAATAAAGT